GACAAGGAGAGCTTCGAGAAGCTGTACCAGGTGGGCGCCGTCCTGGGCAGCGGCGGCTTCGGCACGGTCTACGCGGGCAGCCGCGTCGCCGACGGGCTCCCGGTGAGTCGGGCGGCCGGGGACCCGGGCTCTAGCGCGGCGCCAGGGCGTCGCTGGGACGACGGCCTGACCGCCTGCTTCCCCGCAGGTGGCGGTGAAGCACGTGGTGAAGGAGCGGGTGACGGAGTGGGGCACCCTCGTAAGTCGGGGGGCCAGAGGCCGGGATCGCGGGACCTGCGGGGGGGGGGTGTGAGGACGGGGAGGCCGGGACCGGCGGGGGGAGGCGGGAGGCCGGGATCGCTGAACGAGGGGGGGCGGAGAGGCCGGGATGGCGGGCGGCCCCGTGCTGACCGCCGCCCCGCCGCCCTCCGCGTCCCCAGGGCGGCGCGGCCGTGCCCCTGGAGGTGGTGCTGCTGCGCAGGGTGGGCGCGGCGGGCGGCGCGCGCGGCGTCATCCGCCTGCTGGACTGGTTTGAGCGGCCCGACGGCTTCCTGCTGGTGCTGGAGCGGCCCGAGCCCGCGCAGGACCTCTTCGACTTCATCACGGAGCGCGGCGCCCTGGACGAGCCCCTGGCGCGCCGCTTCTTCGCGCAGGTGCTGGCGGCCGTGCGCCACTGCCACGGCTGTGGCGTGGTGCACCGCGACATCAAGGACGAGAACCTGCTGGTGGACCTGCGCGCCGGCGAGCTCAAGCTCATTGACTTCGGCTCGGGCGCGCTGCTCAAGGACACGGTCTACACCGACTTCGACGGTGAGCCGCGGGGAGGGCGGGGGAGGGCGGCCGCGGCGCGGGGGAACCCGCCGGGCTGGCGTGCGCGCGTGACGCGGGGCGCCGCGCCCCTCCCTTTCCGGGCGGGCCTTCCCTGCGTGCGTGCGTGCGTGCGCAACGCGGGGGCGCCGCAGCAGAAATCCCCGCATTGCGGAGCGGGGAAGCCGGGGCTCCCCGCTCCTCCCGCCCCCTCCTTCCCTCCTCCCCTTCCCTCCTCGGTGCGGTGCGCACTGGCAGGCTGGGATGGGCAGTGCGCACGGGGCGGGGCCAGGGCCTGTGACGACCTCGCTTCTGTTTGTTGTGAAACCGGAGCTGAGGTTCACTCTTCCACTCCTCCCGCCGCGGGGGAGGGCTGCCAACGGGCCTGCGCGCTGCCACCACCGCAGGCCCCACCCGCTCCTGCTCCTGCCGCGGCCCTGGGTTTTTCCCAGGGTGGAGGCTGGGCAGGCTAGGAGGGGAAGAGCCGGAGCGCCCCGCACCCGGGTCCTGAGCCGCCTCCATCCCCGCACCCCCAGGCACCAGAGTGTACAGCCCCCCGGAGTGGATCCGCTACCACCGCTACCACGGGCGCTCCGCCACCGTGTGGTCCCTGGGGGTCCTGCTGTATGACATGGTCTGCGGAGACGTCCCCTTTGAGCAGGATGAGGAGATCCTGCGGGGCCGCCTGCTCTTCCGAAGGCGGCTCTCCCCAGGTGCGCCTGTGGCTGGGCTCGGGGCCGGGCACCGAGATCTCCTCTCCCTTCTTTCCTGACCCACCCGTCCCTTCCCACAGAGTGCCAGCAGCTCATTGAATGGTGTCTTTCTCTGCGGCCCTCTGAGAGGCCCTCACTGGACCAGATTGCTGCCCACCCCTGGATGCTGGGGGCGGAAGGAAGTGTCTTTCAGAGCTGTGACCTCCGGCTCTGTGCCCTGGACGCTGATGATGGGGCTAGCACCACATCCAGCAGTGAGAGCTTGTGAGAGGGGCCCGACTCCCCCTGACTTGGGATGCCTCCTGCAGAAGCAGTGATCTTTGACCCATGGTGACCTTTGCCCTTGGCACCGGGCCTGTCTCCTTAGCTTTGAGTGCCTTTTTGAACGCTGCTCCATGGGACTGGGTTTCCTTGAGCTCTTCTGTCCGTCCAAAGACCGCTCCGGGTGAAGCGAGGTCCTGCCTGCCCTGGGTGGATACTTGAACCTGAGACCTCTCCCACCCGGCTGCCGGGACCTGGGGCGGCCTTCCTGTCAGGCCCAGAGCTCGCCCACCCACCACCCTCCAGTCTCATGGTGTTCGTCTGGGCTGTCCATGCACAAGCAATGCAACAGCCGGGCCGAGCTGCCCGCCTGCCTCCCTGCGCACTCGATCTGTGTCTGTACCAGCGTCTGCGTCTGTTATTTATGGTGTGACCCCCCCACCCCGCAGGGCACCCCTGTCCTGCTGGGGGCTATTTATTGCTTAATTTATTTGCCGAGGTTACTTCCTCTGAATGGGTGTCTTCTCCAGGCCCCTGGGGGTGGATGGCTGTAGGGTTGGTACCCCGCCCTGCTTCCACCATCTGGGAGGAAGAACTTGTACAGTGACTAATTGAAGGGAGTGGGTGGTTGCCACCCTGGGCACTGCACTGGGGTCTGTTTTAAATTATTGACCTGTACAGTCCGCTTGCTGGCTCTGGAAGCTGGGTGGGACAGAGTCTCAAGCCCTTAATTTATTTTAGCAGCTGTGTTTGACCCGGTGTGATTAGGCACCGGGGTGGGGTTCTTTCAGTTCAAAAGCGTGAGATGTCTGAAGATCATATTTTTTATACAAGCATTTCAATTACAGTTCTTCTTTTGTACGTAATGAGTGTTCTGTGTTTATTGCACTGGTAACCTTCCCACATCTCCTGTGAAGCACCTACCCAGTGGGGGAGGGGAGGAGGTGGAGGGGCCTGGCCTTATAACCAGGCCATCTATTCTGGCTGACTTCTGGCATTCTCCAGCCAGAGGGCTCTGCGCATGGCTGGTGGCCCTGGTTGCTGCCCATCCACATCCAGAGGCCCAGGGCAGTCTGGCCCCTCAGGAGCAGCCCCGAGGCCCTCTGGCCTCCGCACTTAGAGGCCTGGTCTGGTGCCACTGTGAGTAGTGTCCTGTGCTGCCCAGGTGCAGGGCTGGGTGGCGCGGAAGGGCTTCCAGGCAGTATGTGCAGAAAGCAGGGCCGAGAGTTGTCTTGTAGCTGAGCTCTGGTGTGGCAGGTGAGGGTCAAAAGGCAGGGTGGGACCCATCAGCCTAGTCCAGGTGTGGACATGGGTCCAACCCATGGAGAAGGGCTGTTCCTTTGACCTCCACCCCAGATACCCCCTGCTTGGCAGTTCCTGAGCCAGTGGTCCAAATGCGTTGCCTTGGGTGTGCCCCAGCCCTGATGCCGCCCCCACCTAAACAGCCATCTTGAAAGTGAGGCTGCCGTGACTCCAGGAGCCCTGCTGCCTGGCTCCTGAAGACCAAGGAGATCCTGGGAAGGACACCCCCTTTCCCCTCGGGAAGGCTGGGTGAGGGCTTCTGGCTCCACAGCCTCTCCCCTGAACCAACACTCAGGGATCCCCAGAGAACAACTTCCCCCAACCTCCTGCTTTCTTTCCCTCCTGCCCCTGTCAGGCCTTAGCTCAGCCTGCTAGGGCCCTTCCTTCAACCCACCCCCAACCCACGGGCAGCAACCCTGAGCCCAAGGTTGAGCCCAGCAGTCAACACTGGGGAATTTCCAGGCTGGCACTGGCACTGCGGCCTGGTTCATTTGCTCGTCTTGTCTACTCTCCTAGCCTGTGGAGCCCTGTGCTGATGAGTGGGCAAGTTCAGGGTGAAGGTCAAGCCCATCCTGAGGAACCCTGGTGAGAGAAGAGGGAGGGCCGATGGTAGGGGTTATAATCCCAGCCGCTTAGAGGGAGAAATGAGATGGTGGTTGGAGGCCAGTCCAGGAAAAGGGGAAGAGAACAGCCAGGCGGGGTTGCCTCCATGGTTAGCACCTGGCTCGCCCCGCCTCTGCCTTGTGGCCTTTGTCTCCTTCCTGACTGGGAGCACACGCGCCTGGCACCACCCCCATTCACCCAGGACTTCAAGGCTGCCACAGCTGAGATGGGCAGAAGTCCAAGATATGGGGCCCCACGGCCTTTCCTGGCCCCTGGGCAATGAGCTTCCAGAAAAATCTAAGGGTGTGATGTCAGGCAGAATTCCAGGTTGACTGCCAGGAATACACTTCGCTTCCGGTGACTGCAGTGAGGCTGTGTGCTGCTGTTGCGTTTGAGCGTGTGCCATGTGCATTTTGGTGGGGAGTGTCCTGCTGGGCCTTCAATCCTGGTGGCCAGGAAGCCAAGATGGGAAAGGGCCAGGGTCCTGGGACCACTTCCTCTGGACGGCCCACCCCTCGGGGTCCGTCACCTTCCACAAGCACCCCAGCTGAGGACCAGGCCTTCACAGGGACAGTCCGGACCCTTGCATGCGCCCTGGCCGCCCTGGCTGCCGCTGCCTGGCTGCTTTGGGCCCTGGCTTGGCATGTGGAATGGATGGATTCAGGGCCTACCCCATTACTGGCCATGCTGAGTCTGGTGCCCCAGCCCTGCCACATGTCCCTTGAGCTCTGTGGAGTCTGGGTGACCCACATGATGGGGTTCCTGAGGCCCATCCTTCCTCAGCCTGGTGATCTGGTCTCTCCCTGGGGAGAGCCTCTCTGGCTCAGGTGGGTTCCACACTCCCTGCCCAGCTCCCTGCCCAGCTCCCTGCCCAGCTCCCTGCCCAGCTCCCTGCCCAGCTCCCTGCCCAGCTCCCTGCCCAGCTCCCTGCCCCAGGACAGAATCCCACACCGCCTCCCTCACAGTCGTCCCCTTCGGGACCAGGAGGCTCTGTGGACACGAGTTGCCTCCACATTGAACCGGGGTGGGAGGCTGACCGCAGTGAGGTCTGTGCCGGGCACAAGCCCTGGCCCACCACCCCTCCGTGGGCTCCCAGCTTGCTGTGCCCATGCTGGCCTCTTTCTGGCGCCTGGTCTGGCGGCTCTGATGGCTTTCCGCTGGGTGGGATGCCCTTCAGCGCTGGCTTTAATATCTTAACCACAGGTGTACTGATTTAATATCTCAAGAAATACTTAGAACCGTTTGGTCAGGTTCTAGAGAATCTATCCTTTGGGGGGAAACCTGGACAGGCCGAGTGTCTCACAGGAACTCACAGCCTTGAAAGATGACGGACTCCCAGCAGGCTGCAAGATGGGCTGAGGCTGAGGCTGTTGGGGTGGAGGCTGGCTCTCAAGGCTGCTCCTCCCGCCCCACCCTTGGCCTCCTCACCTGCTGGGCCAAAGCCAGCTTGGTCTCCCGTTCAGGGGGGTGGGACAGCAGCTCCAAAGCCGCCCCCCCCCCCGTTCCCTCCCAGACACTCCAGAAATGAAACTTTGGTGTGGCTAAGATGCTAAGGCCTCATGGCGGAGGGAAGCGAACCCTGAGGGCCGGGCGGGAGGGGGGGAGGGGGGGACACCCGGCGGCCTGCACAGCCGCGGCCTGCTCGTTCCTGACTAGCTGAGGTCCCTGGAGCCAGATCTCTCCGAAGCCCCTCGGTCATTCAAGGGTCTCCTCGGAGTGAGCACTTGACCCACCTGCACTTGACCGGGCCGGGCTTGTCCCCTCACCCCAGCTCCCGGCAGTCATGTCCCCTCACCCCAGCTCCCGGCAGTCAGATCCGTGTGGCAGGCAGGGCAAGGGGCTCCCAAGAAGTGCGCCTGAAGACTGCTCACCCCCACTAGCCCACAAAAGGATGCGCGCAGCCCTGAGGGAGCACTGCGTGAGCACGTTCACCTGTGTCCTGTGTGTCTGCGAGGAGCCAGGGGTGTGAACCTGCGTGCTCCATGCACATTGTGGCTGCCTGTTTGCCTGTGAGTGCAGGAACACAAGTGGACCCGTGTCTGTGGGGATGTGTGGTTCTGTGTTTGTGTGTATGCTTGTGCCTGCGTGCACTACATGTGTGACTTTGCATGCATGCACACCTGTGCTGTGCGCTGGTGAGTGTGTGTGCACGTGTGCATGCATACCTGCGCAGAACCTGGCCTGGGGGAGCCTGCTGCCCACACTGGAATCTTCTCCCCTCCCCTCCCCCCTGGGATGCCTGCCAGGGTCTCCCTCTCCCTCCCTTGCAGGGCCTAGTGGCACTTGGGGAGACTCCTGAGTCAGCAGCCCAGGGACCAGGTTCCGGATTCGGGGTTTGGGTGGGGGAGGCCCCCGGGGAGAGGCTGTGGGGGCAGGGGTGGGCAGCAGGCACACCAGGGAGCCCCAGGGTTTCCAGGGTAGGACAAGTGTGGGGGGTTCCAGAAGAGCCAGGGCAGCTGAAGCAGGGGCAGAGAGGGGGTGGGCCTGTGAGAGCAAGGAGAGGGCTGGCGGGGAGGGCCAGGGGAGGCCGGGCCAGAGTCCCGCAGGCTGGGAAGGAGGTGCGCTTGGCCCAGTGTGGGTGGTGGAGGGCCGGCGTGATTCACAGCTGGAGCCGTGGGAAGAACCCGCGTGGGGAATGCGGGCACAGGGGGCAGCACCCCAGCGCCGGGCAGGGCGCTGCGGGCCGGGCAGTCGCGGTGCCCACAACACTCTAGGCTGGACAGGGCTGAGGCCGCTCCTGCTTCTC